GATCAATCTTTTCTTCTTGAGCTGGCAAAATAGAAGAACCAAGCGCGGGCGTAGAGGAAGTTGCTATTTTGAGATTTTCAAAGTTGCCTTTCTTTCAGGAAGGGAGTCTCGAAAAGAGCTTCAATTGTGCTATTCCCTTAGTTAGCGAGCCAGCAGCCATAAACAGCTTTACCACCTAGGTGAACCCGAAGCTAGAGCACACACAAGGCACAAGGTAATCTTTGCCAGAAGCACCACCCAGAAAAATCAATCCACTAGGGATTGGTCGAGATTCCAAGATTGGCACTTTTCAATCTATACCCTTAAACGCGACCAAGTCGTAAGACCTCCAAAGGAGACCAAAACGGACAAGATTGGTATCTTTCCGAGTGACCTTCCAGGACCCAGGACGTGTTAACAACAGGGGAGTTGAAGAATTCTGCCAGGGACACCTTTTCGCTCAAGGCAAGAATACAGTACCATCGAAGGAAGGCTAGCCAGTCCTGAACCCAAGATCTAAGGGACAGACACTCAGTGAGATCTTTCAACTCCTCTGACGCATACACATCGTCAGGAGGAAGTCGAAGCTCCTGAGGTTTCGTTTCCTCTCTTTCCGAATAAATGAGATTAGGTATCCACGAAGAGTTGGGTGAAGAGAAAGACCACGACCATTCAAGGGGTAAACTGCGACGTGTAAACTGGACATAGAATCTCTCGAAGTGAGAATTCCTACGCCAATCAATTCGCGAAAGAAGCCGCCACCCCCGACCCGAAAAGTGTAGAAAAGCGCGCTAGGCCTACTTATGAGCTATACCCATAAGACCGTACGGATGGTGAGCTCTCCAAAGAGCTCTGATAGAGATCGGACTTCAGTCCTTGCTCAATCCTCCTCTTAGGGAACTCCGCCGCTCCCTGATGAGCCTTTCTTTAGTTGCTGAATTCATCTTCCACCCTTGGTATAAGCTAGTTGATCGGAGGCTATTCAAGATTGTTGATATCCTTTTTGTACGCTAGGTTGTATAAGGAAGAATGAATCTATGATAATAAAGAGGAAAGCTTGAAACAATGATATAAAAGTGGACCCTAGCTAGAAGGTAAAGACTTTGACTTCCTTAGCCGATGGAAAGGAGGTACTCTTGGACAGCTAGCAAAGGCTTAGGATTATCAGAGACTTTTTATTTTGTTTGGTTTGTTGCTTAGTTGCTTATATGCATGTCTCGTGCAAGACTAAGTTCTCCGTAGGGTTTGACTAGTTTTGTAGGATAGGAGTTGGTTCTAGTCAACTGTCAGTCTCAAAAAGGGCTAGACGCACCTCTTCTCACGCATACGCTACGCCCCTTACGACTGCTCTTTTCCACTTATACTAGCCAAGGTTAGAACTAGTTGGAAAAAGCAATGGTATACGAAAACGATCTTTGCCATTGCTGCTTCTGCCTCTGCTTGTGAGCCTTTTGGGGGGCTAACGCTAATGAAATTCTCTTTTTTTCTGAACCTGGTGGGTCAGCTATGGATAGGAGCGAATGCAGTTGCAGTGGAAGTTTGAATTGCTAATGCCTCTCCTTCGGTGGAGTGATTGAATACCTCTTGCGCTTATTGCTTATTGATTAGAGTTAGTGATGAAAAAAAAGGTATGTGCGAAAGGCTTATTTCCCAAAGCAGAAAGCACTCTTTCAAATGCGCAAGTAGGAAACAAGGGCAGGCATAGTCTCATTAAAGCTAAGCGCATGCCATTCCAGTCTCTCCCTCTATCGAATCAGTGATGGAATACCTTTTTCTGTTAAGCGAGTGCTCAAAGTAGGAAGACTCTAATGGGCTTTCTTTGTTCCCCTATATGAGAATATCCTACCTAGTACCAGTCATCCGCTAGGCTAGCACGTAAGCGAGTTCTATTGGTAAGCCCTTTTGTAACACCAACCATCTAGTTTCCTTACATTGCTAATGCCTTGTATTGACCTTCCTTTGATGTTTATTCCCCTTAGTCAAAGTCTGTCTCTTGAGGTTAGGTGTTTACCTTTCTGGGGCTATCCATTCAAAAAAAAAAAGAATCTTATTCTAATTCTTTTCTTAGGAAAGTGTCTTACGCAAGCTAGTTTGAAAGAAAAGATCTGAGTTAATCCAAGCCTTTTAGATATGTATTGAGAGTAAGATTGAGAGAAAGCTTCATCCTCCCTTGTAGCAGTTTTTCTACCTCTAACCTCTGTCCTTGGTTTTTCCACTCTATGTTGATGAAAGGTTCCCATCGAGAAATTCATTCATTGTTGAAGAACTCCCCCCTTTGCCTGGGTCTTTCTCGCCTTTTGCCTGCTTTGATTAGGACTTTGCCCGGGGAAGAACTCAAAAAAGAAAGCATTTAAGTCGAAGTAAGTAAGTCGGATTCGCTAGCCTTTGGGCTTAGAATCGCTCTTTGCTAATAGACTGGACTGGCTTAGAATCAATGCTTTGACCGCTAATGCCGAATCCAAGACCTCTCCCCCATAGTAGTGGGGGATAGCCAAGCCAAAGATGCTACTTCCCAGCCCACGTCGACTACAGAACCACTTGGTTTGGTACATTCTTTTAGCCCTTTGCTTTCGCATTAAATTAATGATAGCCCCCTCATTTGGGTAAAGAAAAGAACTAAAGGTAAGGAGCGGTCGCTAGGGCAGGGCCGTATCCCGATCCGGATGCCACGAAAATTTAGGGAAGCCTTTTTCTTAAAAGAGTTTCTGCGACCGGTGAGAAACCGGACGACTTTCGGGGTTAAAGGAACACCTTTCTCTTTCATATTGAGTCCTCAGAGGTGCGGGTGCGGCCCACTTGGTGTCGGATCAGCTCGACAGGTCAGTCAATAGTCTTTCGCAGAGTACCTCATGTTTTAGTGAACCCTGGGAGTTGTCGGCGGCTCGACGATCTGTATTCCAAAGGTTTACCGAGGTGAAGCTTTTGGCATCTCTTATTGTAGCTTTCTCTACTTCAGGCTCTTCCGAGGGCCTTTGTTTGAGGTGAGATTCTATAGTTTGATGGTTACCTCTGTTCTCCTCTCCCTTCCCCGGTAGCTAGGATAGAGTTCTATTTCTCTTTCTTTCCTTCCGTTCAGGGGCACTCTAAAGTCTTTGCAACCTTTAGAGCTGGTTGACAGCCGTCTAGTCAGTCCCTCTCGCTCTTTGATAGACATCTTTCGGTTCTCGGTCTCATCCGACGAACAACTTTAGGTCCTTATTCTCTGTCCTATCCTTCCTTACGGATTCCCGGTTTCTGAAGGAGTAGCGGCCTGTGTCTCCGGCTCTGGGAGAACTTTACCTATAGCTAACCTAGAGAGCTTTACTTTAAGATAGCTCGGGCAGGCACTCTTCTTCGAAAAGAGGAGTTGCTTGCCTTACCCCACCAACCACCTTAGCGCTGGAAGTTCTAGCAATGGGAAGCTAGGCAAAGGAAAAAACTATAGAAAATTCATATTCATTAGATAAGAGATTGTGGATCTGTTCTTAGTGAAGACAACCGGATTGGGACGATCAGGTCGGTTGAGGGCAGCAGCACACCAATAGGTGTGGATTGCCATTCTTGTACTGTTTGGGTAAAGGGCAGGAGCGCTCTTTCCCTCTCACCAGTACTTACTAGTTGGGGTGGGGCAACCGGTTCAAACCAAATATCCAACAGACGCTTTCCTTAATGGCTGAACTCGACCGAAAGGGAAAGGAAAGCTTTGATACCAGAAGTCACGTAGTAAATGGATATTCCATGGGAGACCGTAATACGACCTTTTTTCACTCTACCACTGTGATCAGGAGAAAGCGAAAGAGGATTGATGGCGCTAAGGGCTCGACCGAAGGAAGAGGGCGCTAAGCTGTCAATTGACGACTAACAGGAGAGGGCACAAAACTACCCTTTTTCGTAAGATTGCAGAACTCTGCTACTCCCCTACATGGGTTACCCCTAAAGGGAAGGGGATTAAAATAGAGTTTCCTAGCCTATCAATGAAGGGCTCCCCTACGGGAGACTGAAAAAAGACGAATGATTCGAACGGAAAGACGGCTAGAACGCCTTAGATCTACTTGAGAATGGGTATCTGCCGAAGTGGAAGAATGCCTTAGGCCGAGTAGAACCAATGATTTCACACTCGTACCCATCGAAAAGGGAAGCCGAAGAGCTCCAATCCCTTGATTTCGTAGCCATTGCCGGGGAAGAGTCAGAAGACAGCAGGTCGGGAGGAAGGGATGTAAGCCCCAGAGGTTGGTAAATCAGTGTGGGAAAGCCCCTCGTTTGAATATGCGCCATCCCCCTCACTTCCAGAAAGCCGTTGAGCGTATGTGTCGCCTGAGACTTTGGTAGAACATCCGGCTGCAGAAGGCATCTGGTTTGAAGACTTGTTCCGAAACCAGTAATCATCAGAATATGCACCGATCAGAATATACAAAACTTGATCCGGAAGGAATGTCATTAAGTGAAGGAGTCCTCGTAAGCGCATAGGCAAAAGAGCTTGGTGCTCGTTGTTCACCATTTGCTGTTACACATGGGCGAGACGAAAAAAAGCCCCCTCTATATAGTTGAGCAGCGAGAACTGCACTTGCATTAGTAGAGGCGATTAAATATACTGTCCACACTCTTGTCTGCGAAGCGAAGCAAGGTTTTGAAAAACCAGTGACTCCTCTAATAATGGCATCGGCGGAAAGTTTCCTACGGCGAGCTCGAGCAGAAGGCGCAGCCGAAGGCCAATAAAGCCCTACTTCTATCCAATTCCGGCAAGGTAATCCAATTGGAAAAATCTGACTGAACGTGAGGATGTTATGTCGACTTAATCCGTGGTTGAATATGTTATGTCGGCTTAGCCAGAAATTGAAGATTTCGATGGTCTAGCCCGAAATCGGAGTGAGAAGTCTCTCAAAAGGCGAGCTGGGCTCAGGAGCCGCTCAAGGGAAGAAGGATCTCGGGATTAAACCTGTTGTGATGAATTAGTCCTCCTACTCAAAGTCGTCATCAACCACTTTCCGTCTTGGATCTGAGTCAACGGCATTAGCATTTTCTTATCACTACGCTGTCTGTGA